CCTTTGAAAATGGACTGTGCATTGACTACATAACGGAAAAATATTGGAGCAATCCACATAACCACAACATGGTCCCAATTGTTTTGGGCTCCAATTATGATGCTAAGGTTGCTATACCTGGTTCATTTATTAATATTCTTGATTTCCCGAGTATGAAAGCTTTCTCTGATTATATCAAGTACTTGGACAAAAATAACACTGCTTACAATGAACATTTTAGCTGGAAGACAAAGTTCAGACTTGATACTAAGAATTCTGAATGGCTGTGCAGAYTATGTKTTAATCTTTATAATGACTCGCTGCCAAGGAAGGTTTACACAAATTTAGGGGCCTACTGGGGAATTCAGAATAATTGTCACAGGAATAAGGAGAAACTTCAGCGTCTGTTAGACTGAACTTGATCTGAGATGCCCTTTGCATTCCCAGTATGTGTCAGTCCAGTTTTAAAAATAAAAATATAGACGATAACAGCTGGCACTCCATCTGTAACAGTCAGACAAAATAATTATATGTAATATGCAATTTCAACGCAAGAATGGCAGTTTTATAATGTCTGTSTAGTCTACTTTTTTTTACTCGTGGTTCCAAAKGAATCCCGAATTTAAATTTTTTCGTCGTCGTATTTCGGTCACAAAATTTCCTCGGTCTAATGCACTGGGTACGAAAATAATGTTAAACCCATCACATGACCTTCTCAACTTCATGTGCTATCTTTATATTGTCGACTGTGATAAAGCGAGATACCCATAAAATTTATAAGCATTTCTAAAGAGTTTGATTGATATTCAATAATAATAATAAGCGAGAAAATAGAGAAATGCATATAAAATTACCTATGATACACTTGATATACAACTAGAAGGGTTTGCAATCATAACCCGTTGCTTCACGATGATGGCGATGGCGATATCTTTTTTAAAAAAAATAGCTCTAAATCCCCTCAAAACCATACACAGCAATGTTAGATAACATCAACAACACATGAGATTTAATGGTAGACTAAGATGTATTTTATTTAAATGAAAACAAAATTGAAACCCATATATTCACTGTAAAGTTCAAATGCTCTRCTTGGGTTGCCTGTGACTACACACAACGATTGAGACATGGTCTTCCACAGGAAGCCCATGTAATTATGTACATATTTGTTATCGTTTGTTCTTATCTATCTTTTGGAGAATACACCTTTTCAGTTGCACTTAGGCCTCGATGCCTCGATAGCAAGTTAATTATTCTTTTGAATTTGACAAATGAGACTATTCWTATCAATGTTTGCATTGCTCWCATTCCTACAAATTCAAAAGAATATTTGACGCGCTGTTGAGGCCTAAGAACTGAAAAGGTGTATTAATAACTTACATAATTTGTTGATAAAACGTGATCTGAGTCGTCAATACTTTGCTTCCAAACCTTATTAAAACTGAAATATAATGACTGACGACACAAAGGAAAACACAGAAACAGATGTTAAACAGACTATTCTACCAAATGAAGGTAAAAGTGTGTGTATAAGGTTCTAGTTTGAAAATAAAGATCAACAAAATCTTCAATTAAAAGTTTATCTTTCCAAATACTTCAATATACATCTGACCATCTCCGAGTTATGTTGCCATTGCTTGCAGCTTGATTGTTGGCGTGA